CATAAGATTTTTTTAAATTCTTAATGATACATTTGATTCAGCAATGCCGGGTAAGGACTATTTTCGTATTGCGCACAATCTATTTTTCAAAACTTCAAGCAAATTCTAAACCACTCATCGTAGGTCTATAATATTTTAAGGTAGTCGGTTTGACTATTAACTCTATCACCTTTTGAAGTTTCACCAAAATCCAAGAAGATTAAACCTGGGGTTCTCTTTGTTAGAAAAAAGTTTAGATCTTTATTTTATTATCTGCACCTATTTTATATGGAACATCAGCAAATTTTTAGCAGTAGAGGGAAGTCGCCGAGTGCCGGACATCTAAGGTTATTTATAAATAAATCAAAAAATATTTTATGAAATGTTTATTAAATTATGACTCATGTTAGACAATAAAGTTAGAGATCAAGCTAAATTAACAAAAACGCAACCTTTGCTAAAAATAATTAATACTATCAATCAAACTTTGGTAACAAGCAATATGATTTTACAAAGTGGCACCTAGTACCGGACATTTCAAAATAACCAGTATTGAACAAATAGGTAGCTATCTTCACACTCTGGAGTATCTGCACATTTGTGTTTGACGAATATTCTTAGATATTGCAAATAAAAAAATCACTATTTATCCACCCTTTTGGCTGGGCCACACCGATGCTCTCAGCTGGAGCATTCATAATAGGATTTTCATTCTTTGACTAGGAAATGCGAAAAATGGGGGTATGTAGTGACCCTTAGTAGTCATACAGAACAAAATTAAATAATTAGAATAAATTACGTCAACTCTCACAAGAAATATCAATATGTTTACCGTCCGGCGCTAAGAGACAACTTAGTGTCTCAGTTGAGGTTAGAAAGATGTTTTGATCTTTATTTTAATATCTGCACCTAATCAGCAAATTTTTGGTAATACTTAGAATGCCTAAATCGACTATCAATCCAGTAATTGGACATCTGGGTATGATGGTATCATGTGTAACCGACAACACAATATTTATATTTCCTTTAGTAGGTAAAATATGGTTTATCAAAAAATGAACAGGATTTGGTTTGTCTTGAACGTGATAAAGGAAAGTAGATAATATTCGAAATTAGATAGAAAAATGGAACCGCTTTTATATTATACAGTTGGCAGATGTGAAACTATATTCTGCACTGGCGTGACCAGATTTAAGAGTCCTTTTACCATAACTCAGTATCTCAGTATCTTTATCCGAATATCAGAAGGATGGTCGCCGAGAGAGTGCAAGGTTTAATTTAGTCATACGCGCATTATCGTATATAACCTGGTAATTCGCGATGCTGCGTCCTTAAGTCATCGAAGCTAATCGCAAGAGCTCCCGCTAAAATTAAACATTTCGCGTCTGCAAACGCTTTAAATATTGCGTACTTCGACCAATTTATAACCAACAAGTGTGTCTGGACGGCCTAATAGACTACGGCGCGATTATTATTATTGTTATTATTAATAATAATATACGCTTTGCAGTTGGAGCCTTGCGATGCATTCGCTGCGCGCTCGACTGAAGCGATAGAAGTCGATTCTTGGCTTGGCTTGGGGGGCACGCGATATCGGTATTGGTGTTATGTAATAATATTTATAGATTTGTGTAAATTTTCAAAATAACAACAATTTATTTACTAGATGATGCAGAATGATATACGATAAACGGCAACTTCGTTTTTTTGTAAGGATGTGATACTTTGTATAAAACGTATACACACACATGTGTATTTCGTAAAAAGTGAATTTATTCAATTTTTAAATAATTAAAAACGTGTATAAATATATAAAACATGTTTGTCCGTCTTTACGATAAGTACATTCCATATCCCTAAAACTTTGAAGAAAAAACATAAAAAATTAAGTGATTTTTTTAAAAAAATTAGGCCTTGGATCAGAAAATATTATATACTAATATACATAAATAAAAATTTGAATTATTTTTTGCAAGATAATTGAATGCGAATATAGAAAATGCTAATTTTCTATTACTACCTCTTACAAATTACACAATGTAATTTAAATTTAACAAATGAGAGTCGTATCTTTATTACTTTATTTGGGCAAACGTTTTATGTTAAGAATATAGTTCATTTTAATCAAGTAAAAGTAAAGAAGATGAAGATTTTGAAGTATCTTTATTTTTCCCGACGTGAGTTTATTCAATTTTAAAATATTGAACAAAATGTGGAACATCCATATCCCAAAAACGTTGAAGGAACAAAAGGAAAAAACAGGCCCTTAGTTCGGAAAATTAAAAAAAAAAAACTATTATACATAATTATAAATGCAAATTATTTTTACGAAATTAATGAATACGTATGATTATGTAAAATGTTAAGCTATTATTACTACTTCTTACAAATTACATAAACTGAGAGTCGTTACTTTATTTGGGATTACTTTATTTGGGAAGATTACTTTATTTGAGGAAGCATTTTTGATTATAAATAGTTGATTGATTGAAATGTAAAATAAAATTTTGAAAGTCATAACATCAAGTAAAAATAAAGAACATAAAAATTTTAAAATATTTTTATTTTTGCAGACGTTTCAGCATACAATTGCCATAATCATCATAATTAAATACAGTATCGGAATTTGTCTTTGGTAGATCGGTTTCTCTGTGTTTTTGGAAAGAGATTATTTAAAAAAATTGTCACTGATACTTGTAGTATTACGTGAAAATTGCATTACACTTAGAACTTAAGGACTATAATAGATAAATTAGATGGCCAAATTTTAATGCACCAAAAAGTGCAATAGAAAGCTTTTTAATAAGAAAAAATCATAATGCTTGGAAAGATTTGCTAGTTCGCAGTTGAAGATTTTTTATTTTGTTAAAAGGGAAAATTGTTTATTTAACACTAAGTTATATTTGTTGTCATTTTTTTATATATACACTGAAAATGTCATAGACATATATGTCGAAACGCCTGAAAAAATAAAGATATACCTTACAAATTGTATCTTCGATTTTTTACTTTGTGTTATGCTCTCCAGTTTTTTTATTTATTTATTCATGCATATATATATATATATATATATATATATATATTATGTAGACTAGGTGAATATTATAGGCAGGCAGTAATATTTCATTCAACTCTGAAATACTGTATCTGTCTATATCTTAATTACGTATTTCTGTAACCTCATAAATTATTAGTTATATATATATATATATATATATATATATATATATATATATATATATGTATGTATATATATACATAAATATATATTTGCATTAAGTGCGAAATTCCATGTCATATACCACCCAATAAATATTGATGACTATATAACGATAAACTATACAATGGCTAATATAATAGACAATCGCAACTATAATTTATTAACAAGACAAAACCTTTGTTTAATTAAAGACAAAAATTTATGATATTTGCAAATTATTTTATAAGTTTTGTAGAATTGTATACATGCCTAGATTCAAAAATACCATTTTATAGTAAACGATGCATAGGTAAAAAATATCATGATATTATTTCTTTTTTTTAGTTTATTTTTATTTGAATTTATTTTTTAAATTTATCATTATTTTTAACTAAATATAAAGCGTAGATAAATCGACATCAACTTTAATCAATTATAATTATTTTTATAAATTTCCCTAAAATTCATGTTGAATCGCATTTTCTATGCTTGATGCATCAAATAAGAAACATAAAATTTAGTTTTATAAATAATCTATTAATAAATACTTGAATTCATCTAAATTTAGCAATTAATTTCAGTTACAGATTATGAAATTAGAAAAAATTTGAAATACAGTAAATTTTTTTAGTAGTTCGAAAAGTAAGCAAATTCTAATTGGATTCTAGCTTTTATGCTACGGCTTCCAACGTAATTCTAATATGATTCTTTTAACAATATTAATCACCATCTTTCCTCTGACTAAAATCCAAACTTTACAAAATAATGATTGTGATATATATTATATATTGTTTATGCATATTTTATGTTTGATTAATGAATTCAATTTAGTTTCACATTTTTTTGAACATGTATTTTTTATATGTATAAAAAAATAATCACTTGAGAAGTTGCATCAGTCGGCGACAAATTCCAAATTAGAATATTACATTGTAATATTAAATGGTTTTCATTTTTAAATAGCTTAAAGATACGATAAATTGTATTAAATGCTAATATAATTTCAATGAATGAATTAGATCATTTTATACATTTTTTTTTTTTTTATTAAAATCTTTATAGGCTTGTAATAGTCAAAAAGTTTAAATGATGTGGATTTATCAGAAGCTTTGCTTATATATTCAGTTTAAAATAATATTATTTTAAAAAATTAGTTTGAATAAAAATAAATTTAAAGAAAAAATAAATAATATGGATTTTTTACCTTCCCATTATTTACTATATAATGGTATTTTTGAATTCATGGTTTGAAGATTGAATTATTGATGGTTTACAGATTTTTGCCACACGTTTGGTAATTTTGTGTAATTTTATATGCTATATAAATTCGTCAAATATGTAGCATAATTTCAAATGTATCACGAGAAATAGTAATTGGTTAATTTTTATTACATTATATTATAATAATAATAAATGTCCCTGCTCATAGTAGTTAGAATAACGACGATTAAATCTGTTTTGTACGGACGTTTATTACACTTTCCTTTTTTATCACTAGAATAAGATATGTTTACATATGTATGTGAGTCCGACTCATATGTGAACATTAGTGAAAACGAAATCTATCACGACCGAAAGCTCTTTGAGCCATTGAGCTTTTGAAATAGAGCTTTGAAACATTTTGGTCTTCAGCATATTTAAAAGAGTAATTTGATAAAATAATAATTGTTAATAAAATATTAATAATAAAATTTACTTCTTAATTTATCACTTGAAAATTTAACACATATCGTGCAAAACTCTCTAGAGAGCTTTTATCCTTTTACCATGTTCGAGTGCAGATAGGTTAGTTATAGTTTTTCTACTAACTAGAGTTACTTACATTAAGATTATCAACTTCTGTAAAACTTTTTTTACAATTGTGTGTCCAATAATAAATCTTATGCACTTTCAAACACTGAATATAAATAATGTTTATTTTTCACAAGCTAAAAGTTCTTTGTTATCTCACAATTTTCGCGTTGTCACTTCGCTCACACTAAAAATAAAGATATAATAAAATATTTGTACCAAAAAATTGTCATGAAGAATTGGAATAGTAATTAACAATTAATTAAAATATCATAGACAATATTTTTGCAACGTATAAAAATAGATTTAAAATTTAAACCGAAATTTGAAATATTTTTTTATACTTTAATACTTGTTCATGTAACTTTATTTATACGAATTCATGTATTTCATTTGATAGTTCTAAATTTGTTAATACATATATCTATAATTCGAATTCAATGTGATGTGCTTTGAACGAAAAATTCACATAGAAACAAAAATATTTTTTTGAAAATACATTATTTATTTTTGATGATTTGGAACTAAGGATGTCCATCTTCAGGTTCTTCAACAAGCAACAACGATTTTTAAAAAATTCTAGTAAGCAAGGATCTAACAGTTTTTTTATTTTTTTTATTTGCTTCATAAACCTAGTACATTTAACCACTCACAAGTTTTATACTTTTTTTCTCTCTTTAACTAATAACTTATTTTTAAGGACCATTTTTTATATCTATATCATTTTTTTTAATTAATAATTTAATTTTTTTATTAATTTAACTCTATAATTATAACAAACATATTTTTATAGTTTTCAAACCATTTTTACTATGTATGATCCTTCATATCAAACGTTTCGGTTAAACTGAGATATACAAAATATATTAAAATTATTAAAAAATAATAAAATTCATAATAATAAACTATTAAATGGAACTCAATCAGTATCTTTAATTTTAAATATTTTTTAAAAAGAATGCATAATTGACAAAAAGCCTGAAGATGGCATATAAATCAATTCCGAAACGTAGGAAAAGATAGCGTTTTTTCAAAATATATTTTTGATTTTATTTTTTTTAGAAGCACAACATATATATATATATATATATACATATATATTAAAAATAATTTGCAGTCCATGCGTCAATTTAAAAAAAAAAATAGAAACAATTTTTTATTCTACATTTCGACACTTGATGTGTCTCATCATTCAGCCAAACCAAAAAAAAAGAAAAAAAAAACAGGAAAAATTTAAAAAACACAAAAAAATAAAAGCACTGATAATTGTTTAAATAAAACACACATGACTAATAAAAATTGAAAACAAAAACTAAAAAAGAGGACAAAGTTTATAGTTCGGTGCTCAAGCAGAAGTGGGATGAAAAAAACTGAAAGTAATTTTTTGTGTTGTTCCTGGTTTCACTGTTGAATGATGACACACATCAAGTGTCGAAACGTATAATAAAAAATTGTTTAAGAAATAGATAAATTGTTTCTATATTAACTTTTTTTCATTCGACGACTGCAAATTATTTAAAACATATTTTAACTTTATTGAAATTAAAATTTTAAATTTATTATTATAATACTAGTTAGACATTTTTTTTTCAAATTATGCCTTATATATTTCATTTATCACATTAACCACTTTTGGAAAATTTCGAATACATACAATATATCAACTATATTCACGTCAAATCCGGTAAATGAATCGTAAATTCGTTGCACAGTATATGTATCGCGAATATGTATCTTTTTATTATGATTGTTTGTTCGGAATCGGCGATAGTATTCAAGTTAGTTCGAAGCACAAGACGATCGTAATAATAAGAAGCAGAGCGCATGATAGCTTAAGCCGTACTAATTCACAATCTTCACACTACATGCACAGCCGACGCTTATGCACGAATACAGGGACACCCTGTGGCATACAAGCACTGAAACTTAAGTCCATGTGGGGACCAACACAGCCGCACGACTATAATACTATATGCCATTGGCGTACGAGGTAAAGGACTTCAATTTATTTCAATTGATTTTTTTGTATTTTATTTTTGCTTCCATTGTCTATCGAATAAGGTTCTATTTTTATCATTAGGTGAAAATTTTTCGAAGCGCCTTCTAAAAAATATTCTGGAAATTGATATGGTTTTGTTCTTCATTAACTTCCCGTAGGGCAAGTTATAGTAATCGCAAAAAAATCGAAAATGAAATTTTGTGTATATCTTAACGTTTCAAAACCTTCTGAACATTTTGGCATACCTTAAAAAAATGGATGTATGTGTGTGTGTGTGTGTGTGGGTGTGTGTATGTGTGTGTGTGCGCGTATGTGTGTGTGTACCGATGCAAATTTTCGTCGGCGATTTCGGGAACAAGGATCAACCGATTTGAATGATTTAAATAACATTCGATTCGTATTGATAAGGAGACGTGCTGATTAGTTTTTGGCTTAGGCAGGTCTAATCGTTCCGAAGATACGGGGCAAAAAGTGCCAAAAACGTTAATTCTGTTTTTAAGAGAACGGAGCGTCCGATTTTAATAATTTGAAAATCATTTTACTTGTATTGACAAGATGAAGAACTGATTAAAATTTTGGGAAGGCGGGTCCAGCGGTTATGGACTCTCAATGAAAATAATTTAAAAGAATGTCATTTGGCGGTCAAAAATGTTTATTGGACTGGACATATGTACATCAAATTATCAGATATTTTATAGAGATTTTCATAATGTGTACACATTTTGTGTAAATTTTTTGGGTTCCAAACCAAGATTTTTAATTACGGTACGGGAAGTTCCAGCAATTTGCCTTAAGGCGATGCCATACACCACTAGTTTAGTTTTTTAATGTTGCTTGCATTGTCTTTTTAACGAGGTTTTATTTTTATTATTAAGTGAAAATTTTTCGAAGAGTTTTCTAGAAAATATTCTGGCAATTGACATGGTTTTATTCTCCATTTGATTATCTTCCTCGAGTGCGCCTATGCTATGCTTAATTGGCGATGCCAGTGCAATAGATCTTAAAGATCTCAGAAAGACCAGGGTTGGCAAATTGATAAGTGTGCGAAGATCTAGAATTCTAGATAAGTGATTTTTTTTCTAATATTTCTAAAATTATTTATATTTTATTAATGTTTTCTAACACAGCAAATTTAAGTCAAATATTATTATATATTTTCTGAAGTTTTTATTAAATATTATTTTGATGGTAAACTGTTAAGAGTGTGAAGATCTAAATAGGTGATTTTTCTATAATATTTTTAACATTACTAATATTTTATTAATATTTTCAAAGTTAACAAATTTAAATTAAAATATGCTCTTATTATATATTTTCTGAAGTCTTTAGTAAATATCATTTTGTTAGAATCAAGTATTTGAAACTAAGCATTACCTTGCACGCGTTTGAAGGTAACAGAAGTTTATTTATATTAATTTTAATGCACTACAAAAGTTTATGTTTAAAATCCGGTTTGCTCATTTCAGATTTTTTCGCAAACATCAAGTCATTCTGAATCGTTTATAGACCAAAATTGGTAAAATTATATGTTTATGTATGTTTGTTTGTAAATATGTGAGCTGAAATTTGATTCTTATTCGACGTTTTCCCACAAGGATTTCAAAAATTTAAAAGCCATTTGATGTAACTCGATAAGGACACGCGCTGATTAGCATTTTGCGCAACGATCGGTCAAGCCGTTTTTTTATAATTAGCAGATAAGTGCAAAAGTTCTTGTCCACGTTTTTACCAAAATTTCTGAACCGATTTAAAAAATTAAAAAACTCTGTGAAATATTTCAGTTGGATTTCGAACTGATTAGTTTTTGGTAAAGATGATTTAGGCTGTTTTTTTTTGGCAATTTGTGAATGATCTTAATGAAACTTTGTATAGTAATAGAGTACCTGATCTTAACGAGCATCCTATGATAATATAGGCCAACGAAAAGTGATTTAAATAAGAACTTATCAAAATTGAGAGTAAAGGGGTTAACATTTAAAAATTCTATCGTTATAAGTTGCTAAATCTCAATTCTCATTTCTTCTAATTGATTCCTGATTCATCTTTAGTAAAATTACACTTATACCTTGCTCACATTATATTGTTACTAATGTATTTACAATCCACCAAAGACAAACTTTAATACAATCAATCAACTAAGAAAGCTCTTAATTTTCAAGAGATATATATATATAAATTCAGAAAAACTGCGTAGTTATTAATTAAAGATGTGAAGAGAAGAGTTAATTGATTTGTGACTGATTTTTGTGGTATAGATATAACATTGACACAAAAAATCGCGGCAATCTGATGAAAATATTCATTAAAATTACATGCCTATAAAAATTTTCTTTCAAGATTTTGAGATATTTTTTGTTTATTACTAGTGTTCACCAGATATAATTACTTATAAATAAAATTTGTATAAACTTGGATTCAATTACCTATTTTATCCAAGATTTGGACCAACAAGATTTAGACCAACCTATTCTATTCTTCTAGAACAGACTAAACTTTGTCAAGATACTATAAATGAATTTAGAAAACTTTGAACTTTGGTTTGAACAAATTGATTCAAGTTAAAGCCAATGATTAAATGCATAATTTCTTTTTAAATGACGAATAATTTCTTACTTCGAGGGTATCTTCCACTTCGAATCTTCATAATAATTTTATTTCTCTTCCTATTTTATTGCTGTGTCATAGGTATGATTTTATCTGGCCATTGCTAATTGTGTATTCAGAATAAGTGATCGTGATAATTAGCACTTGGTAAATTCCACTCTATAGCATCTAAATTAGGTAGTCATAATTCTATAAATCTAATGCAATAATATGACGTCAAACACTTATGTTTTGGATCATCTTTTATTTTCATTTATAGTTATTTTCTGAATATTCCCAAAATCATTTATAGCCATTTCATAAATTTTACTACTAGTTCTTATTATAACTAATACCGAGCTTTGGCTTGGAACCATTTATTTTTCTTTGTGAAATGTTTGGTCCAAAATATTTTCATTTGATATAAATTCTTCATAAAGCTTATGAAGCCTGACTGAATAAATAAATTACTAGAAATATATACAAAAATAGATTTTTATAGGTTTTTCATTAGTTTCTTTATTCTATGCGTATAACAAACATACAATATCGAAAATGTGAATAGATTTAATTAGAATTTGATCTCGTATGGCGGAAGAAGATTGATGATAGACAATTCTTAGTATTAGATCATAGATCTTTGGTTTTGCATATTTAATTTGCGTCAATACTAATTTAAACATGAATTTAGTTCGAGCTCTAAGTTCTGGTTAATTTTGAACCGTACATTCAATGCGTCAAACTGGCGCCTTTTATCTTGAATATTTTTTATATCAATTTCGTTCTGTTTGTCATAAATAAGAAGTGGGTTTTCCCGATTCTTCCAGGTTAATCCTATGATGTCGGTTTCTTTTTTGAGAAAAGGTAATGCCAATGAGGCTTTCTGCAACGGCCAAAAAATATGTCCAGTTCATAAAAAATATGAACCATTCATTTGTAATCTCATCCTTGTGGTTTGCCGATTTATCGACGTAATTTATTTTATAGGAATTTTATTACACCGACAACAGGAAATAATTACATGCCATCGATTTCGTTTTGGGAAATTCCTTTAATAAATGTTTCTGTATTTATTATTTCCGGGGAGAATTTGCGATTTTTATGAACCATTCAAAATATCGTCCGATCCTGAAATTTCGGTACGAATATATTTATTTCTTCAATTACAGTTCAATTAAAGAAAACTTAATAAATAATGTTTTTATTTAGAGACAAACTACAATAGTACATTCTATTTTAATGTTGAGGTGATGTCATAATTTATCTTCCAAATATACATTGTTACCCCCAGAATTATTCATTATTTATGAGTTGGTTTTTGATCCATTTAGAAGATTCTATCAAATTTTAATAACTTTCAAAAGTAGTTAAAATTGCGTTTCAAGTGGCAATTCTAATCAGTTTTTTTAAACAAATATATCTTTAGATCCACTGATTATATTTCTACTAATTAAAGCTAGACAGATGCTTAAACTATTCATCTACCGAATCAAGTAAAAATAATTCCAAAACTATTGTTCATTATAACACCACAATTTTCTACAAAAAGTGTGGTGTTATATATAACTTACCCCGTTTTTGAGGCAAGTAGAAACGACCAAAAACCACAATAATGTCTCAGATAATTTATTCTCAACATTATAAAAAAAAAAAATAATATATATATATATATATATATAACACTTAAAATTTGCGATAATAAGAATGCAGCCTAAATTTTATGTTAGATCAATCTTATATCACCTATCAAAAATGACGCACCTGCACAATTCTGTTTTCTGCATCGGCTTGTGGGACAGTAGCTATTATGACAATATTATGCAGGGCGGTTTTATCGAGACAAAAAGGTATTTTAATATGGTTTAGGATCCTATTGTTACTATTTACCCTTTTACAATAAGCCGGCACTCCTATATAAATTCGTAGATGTACTTATTTAAAAAAAAAACTAGGCAACTTCTGCAATGGGCATATTTGCTTACTATTCTAGTCTTAAATGTAATCAACTCATGTTGACTTGACATCAAACTAGGTTAAAACAATTAGTTTGCAGTACTTTCCTTACATTTTGCATAGATATTATTTAATTAAAAGGCATGATTTTCTACATGAACGAACAAAAAACATGTTACATTTCACCCATTCATAC